TGTCAGAATTTCAGGAGAGGATAACAAAACAATAACTGGAATAACTATTTCACCATGACTCAGTTGCAGTAATCTGGGTTTTGTTGCAGCCTGTAAGGTTCACCTGATTTTCCTGTACCTTGTTGCCTGGATTTGTAGAAATGGGAATATTTGGCTTTCGCACAGCAAAAATTCTCTCTCATTCTTAGCTGGTCTAATAGTTGCAGTCATAAATAGAATAGAAATTAATATTATTCAGATCTCTCCCATTCCTGGGATCCCAAAGGATGATTCTTGTACCTTGAGGTTCTTGAAAGGAGAGAGACAGTAAAGAATCCTTTCCTTGTTAGACTTCTGATCCCATTTTGGAAGACTTGCAAGCTGGAATGTGTTTTGTCATTTGCAGTATCAGCAGCTCATCTCAAGATGGGCTGTAAACAACACCTTTTCTGACCTTGGGTTGTTGTGCCATTGAGATCTCAGACTTCTGAGGTGCCTTACTACTTCTGCCAGGTGCTAAATGCCTCTTTGCTGTGAAATATTCCAAGAAATTGTTTGGAGTGGGATTCATACGGTGCCCAAACTGCTTTAATCATGAGATTTTAAAGGGAGTTTTGACTTTGCAATCATCATGGGGGCCTTTCCAGCCATGATCCTGAGCTACCTGAGCCCTGCAGTGAGATCATGTTTCCTTTGTCTCTTTGACAATCACGTTTGTGGCAGTGGAAGGGACCGTGAAGAGGCTGTTCCAGCAGCCCTTAGGTCTTAAGTGAAAGGAATTTGGGGAGGTTTTGATGATATGCAGGACAGATGTTCTTTGGGAAAGTTTGAATTGAATATTTTCACATGGTKACTTGCAGCTGTAGGGTTGATGTCAAGGATCCTCTTGGTCCTTTCTATTCCTAGGCTTTTAGTTCCCAATTTTTTCACGTGGAAACTCCATCCCACAGAAGGGTAGACACTGCTCAGTTTTGGCAAGTGGCAACCTAAATATTTTCCAAGTCTCTCTACTGAAATTTGGAAGATTAATCTCTTTTTAACCCCTCAACAATTATTCTCTTTTATGTCTGTGCTCAGAGCCCAAACCTGCATTTATAAACCAGGAGAAGGTCCAGAAGGAGGTGAAGGCTGTCCTGACAGAGAGTGCCACCCTGGTGTGTGAGGTGGCACAGGACACAACCGAAGTGAAATGGTTCAAGGATGGAAAACTTCTCGTTTCCTCTCGGAAATTCAAAATAGAGACTGTGGGCAAGTCCCGGCGCCTGGTGATAGAGCAGCTGGAGAAGAAGGATGCTGGGGAATACATCTGTGAGGCTGCAGGCCAGAAGCTGACGTTCAAACTGGAACCAACTGGTGAGTGGTCAGTTTGTAGTGTGAAGAATGAGTCCTTGTGGTTTAGAGGAAAGCTGGATATTCTGACACAGCAGCCTAGGTTCAGCCACCACTGGAGAAATCCCAGTGAACCACATGACATATTAATTTTTAATGGAGCCATGTACAGGTGGGAAATCTGGACTTTTTTTGACTATGGAAACACTAGAAATTTTTTTGTTTGACTCCTTAATACACCTTATCACCCAACCTCTTTCAGTGATGAGGACCTGAACATAAAGTAGGAAGTTCTGAAGAGCAGCAGTGGAGTTATGGAGAAAAGTGACTCAGAAAACCTGGTCTGCTGCTGGTGTGTGCCCCAAAAAGGCCCAGTTTGGTGGCAAAGTGTTGTGCACGATAGAGGAGAGGCCAAGAGGAAGGGACTGGAATCACAGAATGGTTTGAAGGGGAAGGAACCTTAAAGATCCTCGAGTTCCAACCCTCCTGCCAATGGAGCAAATAGAAAATAGGCCATAAACGCAGGTTTAGCCTAGTAATGGTTCTTCTTAATTTATCTAAAATCCTAATAATGGGAGAAGGAATAATTATGTAGGTAATTTTGCTTCTAAGAAACCATCTTTTTATGGGCAGCACATAAAATAGATATATTTGCATTTCCTTTCCTCTGCTTCTCTTCTAAGCAGAAGYTCTGGGTTGTCTGAGAGATCATTTTCTTTCTTCCTGCTCAGGAAAAGATTATACCAGCCACAAATATTCAGCCATAATCCCTGGATTATTACAGGTTATGGATGGTGCGAGTCCTGAAGAAAGAGGAATGTAAAAATGCTGTGTCAAAGATTTGAGCATCACGTTCTTATTTTTCCTGATTTATTGTCTTTTCTAGAGCCAGAGGCCAAATTTGAAAATAAAGTCATCCAGAAAGAGCCTCTGGTCGTTCAAGAACATGAAAGCATCACACTGACAACCTCGGTCACACCTGAGACTGCTGTGGTGAGGTGGTTCAAGGACGGCACAGAAATCAAGGCCAGCAAGAAATGCGTGATCAGGAGCGAGGGGGCATCGCGCACGCTGACGGTGAGCGCGGCCGAGAGCGCCGACTCTGCCCTCTACAGCTGCCAGACAAAGGATGACAAGCAGGAATTCCGAGTCCAGGTGAAAGGTGAGCCGTGCTGGGTCATGGCCCAGCCCAGCAGCTGCATTTCCCTTGTGGTGGGATGGAGGTGAAACCCAAACTTCCCGAAACTGTTCCATCCTTGAGGCTTGTTGCGCCTTCTGTGGATGACTCATCATGGACCAGAAGTGTTCTCCTGCTTCCAAATTCCCAGTTTTTGTCTTTTGCTGGCCACTCAGGGACAAAGAAGCCTTTTTTGGATACTTTGGATATTTCCCTCCTGTTTCTGTATCCTCCTGTAGAATGACAGTGAGCTGAAAATACCACATCAAAAGAATTTGCCTGAATTTCCACATTTCTGATTAGAATTTGTCTGCCCTCAGCCCCAAATATTTAGGCCCATTTAATTCATCTATTAATTTTCAAATTTTGGCAGAACCAATTTCTCAGAACAAGTTTCTTATCTTTTCCCCTCTCACCATTTTCCCTTCTCCTGGATCTCAGAAATCCCAGTGAAGTTCGCCAAGAAGCTGGAGGCCGTGAAAGCTGAGATTGGTGGCAGTGTGTCCCTGAGCTGTGAGCTGAGCCATGCCAAAGGGAAGGTGACATGGAGCAGGAATGGTGTGGAGATCAAGCCCAGCAAGCGTTTCCAGATCCGTGAGGAGGGGCTCAAACGAACCCTGACAATAACAGGGCTCCGGGCTGAGGACGAGGGAGAATATTCCTGCGAGTCCAGGGATGATAAGAGCAGCATCACCATYGTCCCCAAACGTAAGTGTTTGATGGTGACAGCATGGAGAGCTCCCTGGATTTTGTCCTCAGCTGTTACAACCCTGCAAAGCTGAATTTGTTCATGTGGCTGGGCTGACTTCTGTGTTGAGAGCAAAATACAAAACTCTCCTCTCAGTGTCAGTAGAAAACTATTGGTGAAAAACATTATGATTTTGAGACTTCTTAAACCCAGGTCTCTTAATACTGATTTTCACGTTTCATTCGAGGCTGGAATTCAGTTGCCCAAATATAGGATGAGGATTTTTCCTCCTCTTTTTTTTGACTCTCTTTGTGCACAAAGGCCTCAGACATAGGAAAAGCGATGATCCAATATTACAATCAGTTTCGGTAAATAATCAAAATTGATGCTCCCAATAGAATCATGGGAGTTTTTGGCTGTTTAAAGGTTCTCATACCAAGTCTCGAGGATGTAGTTCTAAATGTTTGCTCCCATCTGTCAGCTCCCAGAGTGGTGAAATTCGTCACAAGCCTCAACAGTGTGGTGTCTGAGGAAGGAAGAGAGGCCGTGTTCAAGTGCACCGTCACTCCTGGTGATGCCGTGGTCACCTGGCTCAGGAACGGCACCAAGATTGAAGCCAGCAAGAAATATGTGATTTCTCAGAAGGACACCAGCCACAGCCTCACCATCACTGACCTCACRCTGGAAGATGCAGCTGAAATCACTGCCAGTGCAGAGGGTGTGGAAAGCACCGCCAACCTCAGAGTCCGAGGTAAGAGGTGGCAGTGCCCCTTTGACAGGCTGGCACTGGCACCCTGATCATGGCAGAGGGTTGGAATTAAATGRTCTTTAAGGTTCTTTCCWACCCAAAMYATTCTATWATGTTGTTTAYTGTGGCTKTCCCTCYAATTAATTATGTTAGCAGCAGGGAAATTCTACTTTTGCAACATTAAATAGGGGTGCCCAAAAGGCTTTGGGACTGGAGACACATAACCACTGGTTTAATTATCTCTGAAATCCTGTTTTCTGAACCCTCCACATTCCTCCTAACATTTCCTCCCTTGCAGAGGCCTCAATCTCATTCAAGAAGAAGCTGGAGCCCAGAACAGTTGAAGAGAGGGAGACAGTGACCTTGGAGGTAGAGCTGACCAAGGCTGCCGAGGTGAAGTGGATGAGGAACAGCATCGTGCTGAAGCCCAGTGACAAAATTGAGATCAAAGCTGAGGGAACAAAGCACACCTTGGTGGTCAAGGACATCTCCTTCGCAGACCGGGGCTTCTACTGCTGTGAGAGCCCCGATGACAAGACCCAGGCCAAGATCAATGTGGAAAGTGAGTTCGGTGACCCCCATTTCCATAAAGAGGAAAAAAAAAAGCTGGGCAGGGTTTGGAGGTGGATTCTGGCCTCTGCATCATTATGGGGACACAGGGACACATCCATGGGCTTGGCCACCACTCAAATGACCAAGAGGATGGGAAAGCAAGGGCAGGAAACAGAGAAGATCTGACTGGTTCCTGCTGCCTCTATTTCATCCCACCAGCTTTGACCATTAGGCTTCTTAAAAAATTCTTCTCTTTCCTCTCTTTCTCGCTCCCGGAAATGCTCTGTATTTTTCCTCTGTATGATTTTTTACCAAAACATTTCCTCCTCAGCCTTTAATTTCCATAATTTTGCTCTGCAAACCACCTCATTCAGAATGTCTGTTTGTGTTCAGCCAGGGTCTAAAAAACTACAAAAGCAAATTTTCTCTCTGAAGATGTTTTGGGTAAACTGAGTGCCTCATYCCTAGTCCTGCCCCTCTGTCCTTTTCCTACATTTTTTTCATCATGATTGTCGCAGGCTAGGTGAAGAGAGGATTTAAGTGCTTGAGGACTGTCTAAGTTTGTCTATGAAGTCCTTGCCCCCATCTGGTGTTGGGCTGGTCATAAATAATAGGTGAGGAAGGACTTGAAAACAGCATTTTGGATACTTGGTTACTTCCACTTATTACAGAGTGTAAGGGAATGATTTCCATGATGCCATGACATAATGGACTTCAGTTGCAGTGAGAGAGATCCATGTTATAGTACAACAAAGCTTTTTCATGGTCAGATGGCTGAATAGGTTGTTGGGAGAGCTCTTGGAGCCTCCATCATGTTTTTTTTTTTCCTTTAATTGTCAACTTAATTACTTTTAGTGGTGATGCGTGTTTTAATACTAAATCAATTTTACTGGATGATAGGGCATGGATGTCTTGTCATAGGAACAGGCAATATCCACCCAAACTATGGATACTTTGGCCTCCAAGCTGTGAGGTGTCAGCACATTTTGCACCATGTCATGCATTTTTTCTTTTCCTTTTACTACAACATTTTCCTCTCATCCTTGTTTTATCCTATTTGAAGAACTGCACAGGGTTGACATGGACTTATTTTTCTTTCTTTTATTAAAAAACAGTGGATCTTGATAGAAAAGGGAGCAGTGATGATTTCTGTGATGTTTTCTTAACCTGTTTGTCTGATGAAAGCATCCATTTAAAAACTAGAAGCTATGTTAGCAGTGTAGTCATGGACAGATTTTATTTCCTGTAAAAGTGGTGGTTTAATTGGCAAATACCAATTAAATAGCAGGTGCCTGCATGAGGAATAGRAAATAGCCCAATTTGGAAGTTCTCAGGCTATTTCACAGCTGTTAGTGTGATATCTCCAACTTTTCCATGGTATTTTCCAGTGAGGCAGATCAAGTTGGTGAGAGGCCTTCAGCCCATGGAAGTGGCAGAGAAAGGGACTGTCACCTTCGAGGTGGAGGTGTCACACGAGGACGTGGAGGGGACGTGGCAGAAGGACGGCGTTCGGCTCAAACCAGCGCCCAATGTCAGCTTGGGCCTCCTGGGCAAGAAACACTCCCTGACTCTGTCCTCGGTGGCTCTGGAAGATGCAGGACTCATCTCCTTCAAGGCAGAAGGCATTAACACCTCAGGGAGGCTCACTGTGACAGGTACACAGGCAAAAAAATCCTCAAACCCTGGCTGGGCTGGATCAGGTTGTCTTCTCCTGACCCAGAGAGGGAAAATTAAGAGGTCAACAAATTTTCCTTATAACTGCAAGGGGTGTAAAGCACTGGAGCATTGTCAGTGATGTTTCCTTCTAATGCCAACGGGATTATTGTGGCATCACTGTCCGCAGAACACTTCATGATAAAGGGCCCAAACCAATGCAAATTTCATTAATCATTAAATCCAGCCTCTGCCTGCCTCTCAGTGCCTGTGTGACCCCATTCCCCATTCACTGGAATTCCTCTTTCCTTTTCAGAATTGCCTGTGAGGATCAGCAAACCTTTGGCAGATGTCAGTGTGACTCAGAAGCTYAAGGCCACATTTGAGTGTGAGCTGTCCAAACCCAATGCCAATGTGAAGTGGTTCAAGGTAAAGCACTTAATTGACTGTGATATTTTAATTTCTAACTTTTCTGAAGGGAATGAGAGCCTTTATTTCCACTTCCAGGGGATGGGGGCCTGAGCCTTTGCACTGCAGCTCTTAGCATTGCTCACTTGTCCTTGTGTTCATTTATTCTGCCAATTTATCACTCCCAGGTTTTWATTTRCTGGGTTTGTATATTGGGATGARAGTTAAACTTTTCTATTCCTGCACAGAACRTGAGCACTGCTGTTACAGATTGGCAGCCTTGTGCTTTACTCCRCACCAGGCAGTTTTCAGCCAGGATTTACAGCCTGTTTGGGAACTGTGGTTTAAAGGGAAGCTTCAATTTCCATTGTCAATGACAGTCCAGTTCCTTTTCCCTTGAGGGTCATTTTGGGAATCAGCTCTGCATTTCATGTGCTTTCCATGGGGCTCAGCTTATACCTTCCTTAATTTGGGATAGCAGCAATTCTTCCAGGCAGAATTTGGGCTGCAATGTACCTTTCAAGGGTCATCTCTTTTCATAACTCATGCCATGATCAGTGAGAGCTTCAACCAGATCAGGTTGCTCAGAACCCCAYCCAACCTGCCCTTGAATGTTTCCAGGGATGGAGCATCCACCACCTCCCTGGGCAACCTGTGCCTGTGTTTTATCACCCTCAYTGTAAAAAACTTCCTTATTTCCACTCTAAATTGACCCTCTTTTAGTTTAAAGCCATTTTTTTTTTCTAGAGGGTCTTGTTCTATACAGTTTTAAGACTTCAGAAAGGTATCTGAAATAATCCAGAAGTTCTGTGTGTTCTTCAGCCATTCCAGCTTCTTGAAGTCTTTGCACTGCGATGAAATTKCACCACATGTTCCTTCAAACACAATTTTTGATGAAGTCCAGCGAGAAGGGTGAATTAAGCCCAGATTTGATTGTCTGTTTTGCTTGCTGCAGATTTACAGGAGTTGAGGGTGATCTGCTTTGGCCTTTTCCCCTTCTAGGACGGGAAGGAGATCCGGCAAAGTAAAAACATTGGGTTTATCTCCCAAGGAAATAAGAGAAGCCTCATTATTCACAAGTGTGAATATGAAGACCAGGGAACCTACACATGTCAAGCAGCTGAAGACAAGACATCAGCTACTCTAAAGGTCCATGGTATGTTTGGCTCAAATAGGAAAATACATTCACTGCAGCATTTTTGGCTACGCAGCAAGAAATTCATTGCGGGCAGTTTATTTCACTRTTTCTCATTTTGGTAAAGTTTCTCTTCCTGGTGAGAAAGTGCTGGCAAAGCTGTCCTGTGCTTGCTCCATCCCTGCAATAGCTTTGGAAGAGATGCTAACTCAGTTTTGCGCTTATGATGAGTGATTTCTGTTCCCTGGAATCTGAATGGTGTTTCTGGTTTGGTACGTCAGGAAACACTGGGCAGGCTGGCACCAAGCAGGGACTCCGTGGCTGGTGCTGATGGGGTTTGGTGACACCACTGTCAGGGGGGGACTTTGCCTGAACAGGGKCTGCACAAGCCTTGGATATAAACTSCAGAAGTGCCCTGATTTTTAGGTTGTAAATGCTAAGGAAAGGGTCATTATTTCTGCCTGCACCACCTCTCCTTTATGCTGGAGGCAGTTTTTCCGAGTGTTGCACTGAGCAGCTCATGAAGCACCAGGTGTGTTTTGTTACCAGGCTCTGGAGCGCCTGAGATGAGCTCTGAGATAAAGGCAAGTTACTCAACAGRCAGCTCTGCCGTGCCCTGGCAGATGTTATTTTCCAGAGGGGCATCTGACAAACAGATCAGCTCTTTCTGATTGAAGGACAGAGCATCTTTCTTATTGCTTGCTGGATGCTGTCCTCATGTGGCCACTTGGGCTCAGCAGTATCTTCATGAGCATCTGTCCTATGTGTCCCTCYATCAACTCCCCCTTTTCTCCCTAGTTTTGGGATTGGGATGGGCTGTTGCTTGCATTTCAACTGTGCTCCTGAGACTGATCCAAGGCTTCTTTCAAAAAGAAAGGGCTCCAGAAGCACAGATATACAGGAGTTCTGACAAAGAGTGCCAAGGTGCAGAGTTAAAGAGGATTATACTCAGTTCAGGAGACTGAAAAAAGATATCTCCTATGTAAAACTGAGGAGAACTTGCAGAGAAGCGTGAATGAGGCATGTTTGTAGTGAACTGAGAGACTGGAGGCTTGTGTTATGTTTTTCTTGGCAGATTGTCTTTCATTAATGTGTATTTCTTTCATTTATACTTAGGAAGTTCACAGCATCAACAAAATCCTCTTGCAGTGAGCTTCAATGTACCTGTAGGTTCAGGCATAAAAAGTATTCTATGTCAGAGAGAAACTACCCAGGAAGAGAGGCTGGTCTAGAATAAAACACAATCTCCCTTTTTTTCTTCTATGCGTTTATGCAAAAAGTAAACACACCACACTCACTTATGGAGAAACCCCCAAATAAAGGTTTTCCTTTACAATTTCACAGCCCGAGATGTCAAGATTGTGAAACCTCTGGAAGATGTGGAAGTGAGCGAATACGAGAGTGCGTCTTTCATCTGCGAGATCTCACACGACGAGGTCGAAACCCAGTGGTACAAAAACGACAGCAAGCTGAAAACTTCTGACAACATCAAAATGCGGCAGGATGGTAGGAGGAAAAAGAGGGATTTTGTTCTGCAATGGGAATGGGAGTGGGTTGGAGAGATTAGACTGGGGATGGGATGGGAGATTAGAAAAAAAGGGTTTTGCTTGGGGGAAGCTGAGCCATGTCCTATTTGTGTGTCTGTCCCCAGGAAAGACRTATTCCCTGACTTACGCACGCGTCCACGTCGAGGATGCAGCTGAGATCAAATTTGTAGCAGAAAAGGCAGAATCTCGTGCTCAGCTGACTGTAAAAGGTAATTCTGCTTTTCTTGCCAGCACTGCTTCTGCTCTCTCACCTTACAAACCGATTCACTTCCCTCACTTTGGATGTGAAGGTTTAAAAAAAAAACCCTACAGCATTCAGGAAAAGAAAAACTCCTGCCTACTTTACTGCCTGGTACATATCAGCTGGGAATTTGCTTTGATTAAATAACAGTTTATTTTCTCAGAAGGTTGGTTTTGTACCTTTAGGCATTTAAAGCGGTGTGTGAAATTTGAGGGACCAAAATTCATAGCTTTTCTTTGTCCTGCATTTTCACTTTCTGTTGTATGCTGTAATAGAAAACAGCATTTTATGATGTGTTTAGCTAAAACAATGTGATAGAGAGAGGGAGAAAGAAGACATTTGAGTTAACATGCTGAGGAGGAGCTCAGGAAACTGGAGATCAGTCCCTGGCTCTGCCACAGCCCTGCTGGGTAGTGCTGAGGAAATCACCTGCTACCTCTGCAGTTCAGCCACTCCAATGGCAAAATATRGAGGAAAAGTTTCCCCTTAATCAGCTCTTGCTAATTAAACTTGTTAATTGAGTGCTCAACATAGCAGGGATGCCTGTCACCAACCAAATAAYTGAACATAAAAGGAATACTACTAATGAATTTTTAACTGGCATCTTTCACAGAGATGGTACTGGTTACTCCATTTTTATATATTTTTTTTTGCTCTTGTAGAGCTGCCTGTAAAAATCGTGAAGCCTCTGCGGGATAAGATCGCCCTTTGGAAGCACCGGGGGGTCCTGGAGTGCCAGGTGTCCCGAGCCAATGCCAAGGTCCGCTGGTTCAAGAARAACGTGGAAATTCACCCCAGTGCCAAATATGAAATCGTGAGCGAGGGCGTCTACCGGAAACTCATCATCAACGACGCCGACTACGAAGATGAGGACAGCTACACCTGTGATGCCTTTGATGACAAAACCAGTGCTAATTTCTTTGTTGAAGGTAGAAAACCCTTTTTTTCACCCCCAAAATGCACTGGAAAGAGGATGGGTGGATTCACTTGTCATTTACTTTGGAAACACAAAGCTGCTTTAAAAGGATTTTTATTCAATGTTTTATTCTGAAGTCCAATTGGTATTGAGTCCTTTTGCATGCAAGTACTGAAAAATGAAGATGTGGAATATWCTCCTAAGGAAAATGAGGAAATCCCCATTCCAGAGAAGTTTATCAAATCTATTGGAGAAAGCCTATTTTTCAGAAAAATGTYGCAGAAAAATGTCCTATTATCAATATCTGCATTCTGATGAAGCTTCTTTTCTGTTTTATAGTGCCACATATTTGATATCAGGATAGGAAGGTGGCTTTAGAATTAAGACTAGGAATCAGRAAACACAGGTTCACTTTCTGCCCAGTGACCAGCAAAATCTGTTTGCTTTTCTATACAAAGAATATCTRTTTGCTTTTTTATACAAAGAATGATGTTTTTTGAGTTTGTAAGTGCAGAAAAGGTGGCTTGAGTGTTCAGGCTGATAATGGAAAAGCTTTCATGGCTCCTAAATCCCTGCTCTCTYGTTCCATCCAGAGCAAGCCATTAATATTGTAAAGGAGTTGAATGATGAGGATGTGACTGAGCCTGAGGAAGCCAATTTTGAGTGTGAGACATCCATTCCATCCGTGAAACCTGCCAAGTGGTTCCTGAAGGGAGCAGCCTTGCAGGCTGGCAGAAACATCATCATGCAGCAGGAAGGCACCATCCACAGGCTGACGATAATAAAAACAAGTGTTGACATGACAGGCACCATCCAGTTCTCCATTGGCAAATCCAAATCCACAGCAAACCTGCTCGTCAGAGGTAATACAATATTTAATATATATATGATGTGAATCAGAACAAAGATCGTCCCTCTCACAGCACCTGGAAAGTAATTTGTCATAAATATTCTCTATTCTGGGCTTGGTTCTTGAAAATTTGTGTGTACCTGGAAGATCTGCTGAGTTCCCAATTGCAAGTTGTTGGGAGCAACGTTGAATGCACCAACTGAGCCAGAAATGCCTTGGGAAGGGATCTGATTAAATGACTTTGGTGTCCCTGGTATTGAGATCTATCAAGCTAAAACTGGTTTTTGGTTTATTTTTGTTCTCTTGACTTTACCAAGGAGGACAAAACAGATGAAATTTGCCAGGAGAGTTTATTTTGTCCCATTTCTGAACTAGACAAGTTTGATAGCTCATTTACTTAATTCATTTTGTCGTTGACTCGATCTAGGACAAAGCCTCAAGGCTTTTTATCTCCTGCTGTCACCATGGCAAATCTCTCCAATCACATCCTGAAGTCCTTGTTCTGTCTTTAATTTGCTCTTACTTGAATAAAAACCTCAATTAGAGAGCAATTCAGCAAGCACTGAGCCAGAAGTGGACCATGAATTTGSTGGTTAATACCCAGCATGATCTTACAGGAATCAGCTTTCCCTATAGATCATCGTGCTGTTGTAGCTCCAAAGCACATGAGCTCTGTTAGAGACACTTGTAGCAGGACCTGAGCAGTTGTAAAAGTCAAACATGAAATTAATGGGCACAAAAAACACATTAAAACTTTCCTCTTCTCCAGACTGATCCTCTTTTCCTTCCCAACCCTGCTTGGCAGATTACCACATCCAGATCACCAGGAAACTGGAGGACAAGACTGTCCTGGAGCGACACTCGGTCATCCTGTCCTGTGACTTCAGGCCTTCCCCGAAGCAYGTGAGGTGGTTCAAGGGCCAAGAGCTCATTGAGCCCTCAGACAAGTACAGGATCAAGAGGGAGCAGTACTCAGCAGAGCTCAAGATCATGAAGGTGAAGCCCGAGGACGCCGGCGTGTACAAGTGCCGGGCTGGCATCGCCGAGACTGAAGCCACCCTGAGTGTTGAAGGTACTGGAGGTTTACAGCAGCAGGACTGGCCTGGTGCTGGTTTTTATGGTTCTCTATTTCACTCTGGGTTCCTCCTCCTGAGGAGAGGCAGATTGCTACAGTTATCTTTTAATTTTGTATAAATGCAGTGTCACAAGCAAACTTCTGATTCCATGATCCTGAAATCTCKTGCTGTGAAGTGGGTAATGCATGTGGGAGGGCACCATCGGGATGAAGTAGAAATCAATGTTTGTCAAGACACATTATTGTCCTTTTCACACGAGGAATTACACCTCTGGTCCTTCTRCTAAAAATATCCTTTATGTTAAATTGCTACAGGCCTCCGGTTCTGGTGTTCTTGGCTGTGGTTTTCCTTTCCTGACCACTGTGTCAGCTTGTCTATCTGCTATACATTGGTGTATCTGCTGTATATACATTTTCTAGCTGCTATTTTATATCTGAGTACAATTGTTATTCACAGTGATGTTCTGCCTCATCTGGGTATGGAGCTGTTYTTAGCCAGTTCTTCCCCCTGAGGTGACACCATAAGAAAAGATGTTCACAGTGTCACTTTCAGCCAGAATTGGAGCTGAGCCACAGAATCATTTCCAAAAGTCCAGGGAACAGCTCTGGATAACAGTTTTGTCTTGCAGATGTTCTCCATTGAGTGTGTGATCAAACATTGTCACAGGCTGCCCAGGGCAGTGACAGAGCCACCATCCCTGGAGGGATTTAAAAGCCATGTGGATGTGGCACTTGGGGACGTGTTTTTGTGGGGCCTTGGCAGTGCTGGAGGAATGGTTGAACTCGATGATCTTTGAGGTCTTTTCCRACCTAAACGATTCTGTGACTCCATTCCATCCAAACAAATACATATTTACATAAAAACCCCAAGTAATGCTCCCAAAGCCTCCTCTGAGTTCTCTCATGCTTGAGAAACAGCATTCCACGAGCACAGAAGCTGCAAAGAGAACCCCATGCCCAGTGACTGGGAAAGAAAAYAATCAAATTCCTGTCACTCCCTAAACCTGAGCAAGCTGCTTAMTCTCTTTGTGCTTTGCCTTTGTGGCCAAAACCATTGTCCTCATCTCATCCTCTGTGTCACAATTTCCCTGAAAATAAGGGACAATTTGTTTAAAATTTAGTTTGTGTGTGCAGTGACCATCACACGGGGACKGGAGCTCAGTGGAATATTTAAGATCACTGTAACCCCATTTTAGAAAGAATGACTTACTTTTAAATGAAAAACAAGCAAACAAAACCCCCAAACTGATTTATATATAAAAAGAACTGAGGGTTCTAGACAATTGTAATTAGTCTTTTTRATGGATTTTTTTTTCCTGTTGGAGCAAGTGCAGAACCAAGTAAATGAAATGTGATGACCAAAGGTGTACAGGAGACCAGAACAAATCATCTCATAAACTCCATGAAACTGTTTGTGCTAWCAACTGGTTTATGATGGTGGTGGTGATGGTGCCCCTTGGTTTCCCCAGCCCGCAATGTGGAGGTCCTCAAGCACCTGCAGGACGTGGAGATCGAGGAGGACAGTTCTGCTGTGTTCTCCTGCGAGCTGTCCCACGACGATGAGGAYGTGGAGTGGTTCCTCAATGGCACCCTCCTCTACACCAACAACTTAAACGAGATCAAGAACGTTGGCAAGTGCTACATGCTGACCATGAAGCAGGTGAAGCCTGAGGATGCTGGCACGGTGACAATGAAGTCAGACAAGGTGTCAGAAAGCGTGCRGCTGAAGGTGATAGGTGGGTCTTGATCACACTCCTGAATGCTAATGAGAGATGCAAATGAGCCACTATTCACCAAATCCATGGGGCAATTTTGTTTAATCTATAAAAAAACATTGAGCTATTAAATACGGGACATGAGGRTGGTGAAGGGTCTGGAAGGGAAGCCTTTTGAGGAGCAGCTGAGGTCACTTGGTTTGGTCAGCTTAGAGGAGACTGAAGAGAGACCTCTCTGTGGTCTTCAACATCCTTATGAGGGGCAGTGGAGGGGCAGACACTGATCTCTTCTGTCTGGTGGCTGGTGACAGGACTTGAAATGGCTGAACTTGAACCATGGGAGAATGAAGGCATTGAGATCAGGATGAAGGTATTGAGAGCAGGTTGAAGGCTTGAGAGCAGGATGAAAGAATTGAGGACAGGATGAAGGAATTGAGAGCTGGATAAAGGAATTGAAAGCAGGATGAAGACACTGAGATCAGGATGAAGACACTGAGACCAGGATGAAGGCATTGAGATCAGGATGATGGACTTGGGGTGCTGGTGGGTGATGCTGATTTAGGTTCTGTGTTGGTATCAGCAGCATTACCAAGAGTTTATTAATGTCTCCAAATATTTGATAGCAACTGAAAATGTCTCAGATATCCTGGTTGTTCTCTGTTTTGCCTYTTAACCTTCAGAGAAACCTGTTGTCTTCATGAAATCCTTGGATGACGTTTTTGGTGAGGAGCGAGGRGTGATCAAACTGGAATGCGAAGTCTCCAAAGAGAAGGTCAAACCAGTTTGGAAAAAGGACGGTGTGAAGATYGCTTCTGGCAATAAATATGAGGAGATCCAGGCTGGGAAGAGCCTGTGCCTCCTTATCCATGACCTGGAAAAGACAGATGCAGGGTTGTACACRTGTGACATCGGCACTGATGTTGCCAAGTCAAAGGTCAGCGTTCAGGGTAAGTGTTGTAGATGTTGGCCTGTCAAAGGGTGATGGAAATATGGCTGGGACTGGTCCCTTGGGCTCACACCTGTTCCCGAAAAAATCTCACCWAACACAGTGATGTCTGAACAATCCTTGGTAGTTTTTGGTGTAAGAATATCTGGGGTTTCAGTGAAAATTGGGTGTCAGTAATGTAGCAASAATATTTTCTTCCTGATCATCCCTAAGGTGCAGAAATCCTCACAGAAAATCTCAAAAAATCTCAAAAAATCTCATCTAATATAAAAAAAATCAACAAACCCCCCCCAAGTAGCCTGTTTCATATTTTAGCTATTGTTTCAGAGTCCATTGTAGAAACATAAAAGAAGGACAACATTGCCTGCTGAGGAACCCAGCCTGTCCTCTAATCCTTGTATCTGTCTCAAGGAAAAAGAATTGTTCATGGCTTCCAAACTCATAATATCAATGAAAAAATTTTGGATTTGCCTGATTCAAATACCAGTAGTGACAATTAAAAATGTTCAAGCATCCCATTTCTCCTATCAACATGGAGAAGAACCTCACCCTTTGTCCCAGATGCTTCTTTTCTGACAGCTTTTCTATTCTCTACTTCCCTGAATCTTGACTCTTCCCCACTGAACTGTTTTTCATGCAGTCTTTCCTGAGCACAACCAGGAGGTTCATAYCCCTTTTTGTATAACTTTGAGGTGATTCTGAGCCTGAGAAGCTCTTCCTGTATCACAGCCATCTGTAAGGAATGCAGTGGAGTCCTGTCAATGAAGCAGATAAATTAAACTCTTATGAGTTAAAAATGCCATTACTCATATCTACCATGAAAGCACTTTTAACTTCTATCAATGTAATTTTTGTCCTCCAGAACTGAACATYGGCATCACCAAACGGCTCAAGAACACCGAAATCCAGGAGGGAGGGGATTGCACTTTTGAGTGCATTTTGTCCCATGAAAGCATTGATGACTTCAGCTGGATGCTGAATGGGAGGAAACTGGAAAGTGGTGGGAGATTCAAAGCCTCCAACACGGGTCGGAAATACACACTCAGTATCAAAAATGTGGTTCCTGGTGACACTGGGGAAGTCATTTTCACTGCCCGTGGTCTGACCTCCAAGGCTTCTCTGGTTGTGAAAGGTAAYGGGGTCAGAAAGGTTCTGGGGGCTGATTTCCTGGGTTTATTTTGATGAGGGTTGTCAGCAAAACACGGGTGCAAACTCTGTGTGGATATTTGGGTTCAAACTGAAAGAGGAGAAATTTAGGTCATATATACAGCAGAATTTCTTCCCTGTGAGGGTGGGGAGCAGCCGGCACAGGGTGCCCAGAGAAGCTGTGGCTGCCCCTGGATCCTTGGGAGTGTCCAAGGCCAGTCTGGACAGGGCTTGGAGCAGCGTGGGACAGTGGAAGTTGTCCCTGCGCATGGCAGGGGGTTGTAATGAGATGATCTTTAAGGTCCCTTCCAACCTAAACCATTCTGAGATTCTATGACTTGAATTGCAAAAACCCCAACCWTATAGAGTTGAATTTTATTTAAATGTCCTTTTCTTTTTGTTTCTCTGCAGAAAAACCTACTGAGATTACAAAACAGCTGGAGGATAAAACATCACCAGCAGGGCAGGACATCAGCYTGAGCTGTGAATTGTCCAAAGCTGACGTGAACATCAGGTGGTACAAGGATGGCAAAGCAATCCGGAAAAGCCAGAAGTACGAGCTACAGCAGGAGGGAACACGATCCATCCTCATCATCCATGACTCCACAGTCAAGGACAGCGGGGAGTACACCTGTGAGACAGAGAGCTCCAAAACAACAGCCAGGATCACCGTGCAAGGTCTGCTCAGTGTGCACAGGGGCTGGCAGGCACAGGGGTAAATGTCTGCAGCCCATGGGAGAGGTTTTTCTCTTCCATCTCCCTGGGCAGGATCAATTTTTRCTTTTCAAAAAACACCATTGATTATAAGCTTAAAAAAAACAAGATATGGAAACACACCATGTGGATACTGTGCAATCTTATGGGCTCTGTAACAAGCCAATCAAAACTGGCAATTGGAATTATTCTATGTTGAGTATGAGTGATGAAAACTATCTGCAAGTGGAAACCTCGCCATTCCTGGATCATGGCATTAACCTTTCCTGGATATCTTTCCCCTGATATGTCCTGTGACAAGAGTGAGACCTGGTGATCTTAGATCCATTCCATCTGATGGGAGGGGGGAAGTGGCCTCAAGGTTTAGATTGGAGGTTAGGAGAAATTTCTTCAKGGAAAGAATGGTCAGTCATTGGAACAGGATGTGCAAGGAAGTGGTGGAGTCAGCAGCAYTGGAGGGATTTAAAAGATGTGTAGATRTGGTTAYTGGGGACAYRGTTTAATTCAGTGAATAGTTGGTCTTGCTGATCTTAAAGATCTTTTTCAACCTAAATAATTCTATGATYRTTTATTTGATTATTCTCCAAGTAGGGGCAGAGAGGAATCCAAGACCACTCTGGATGCTCAGGATTAGTTAGGGGGACAAATCTGTCTCTGTCATTATTTTATTTTTAAAATTTCTTTTTTCCCTTGCAGAAAAACCTAATTATTTTGTCAAGGAGCTCTCTGACCTAAAAGTGGATGAAAGTGGAACTGCAGTTTTTGTGTGCCAGAGCGAGAGAGCTGCATCCTCCGTGGTCTGGAGGAAAGGCATCGCTGAGCTCAGGGTTGGCAGGAAGTACGAGATGATGCAGAAAGGRCAAATCCTCCAGCTGACCATAAAGAACTTGGAGAAGAGTGACAGTGACACTTACAGCTGTGACATTGGGGATGCCCAGTCCAGAGCCAAGCTCACCGTGCAAGGTATGAATGAGAGGGGTGTGATTGCACGTCCCGTTCCTGCCGTGGAAAACATGCACAGGCAGATCTGTCCCTCAGATGAGCAGCAGACACACTGATTTCTGGCTCTGCCTCTTTCATGATGAAAGGAACACATGGCCAAAAATACAGGAATGTGGAGCTGGGCATGCAGAAAAATTTGAAGCAACCACACCTGGAGTACTTTGGGTGTGATTTAAACCCCCCAAAGGCTCATGTGAGGAGAGATTGGTGTCCCTGCATGAACAAAAATTGGACATGAGCCTGCTGTAGGATGAGGGAAAATTATTGTGCCTCCAGGCTTTTCTCCATGTCCCTTGATCCCTTTTCCCAGCAGTGCTGGTGGATAAATAGTGGTCCATAGMATCATGGAATGGTTTGGAYTGGAAAGGACCTTAAAGATCWTCTTGTTCCAAAYCCCTTCCATGAGCAGGGACACCTTCCACTGTCCCAGGGTGCTCCCAACCCTGTCCAGCCTGGCCTTGGACACTTTCAGGGATGAGGCAGCCACAGCTTCTCTGGGCAAGCTGTTCCAACACTTTGCCAGCCTTTCAGGAAAGAATTCCTTCCCAATATCCCATCWAACCCTTTCCTCTGAAGAAATGATTCAAGAACAATTAGATAGAGGTGCAGCAGCAGCATCCACTGGCTAATTGGATGCAGTTATCAAAGACAAGGGCTAAAGTCAGACTCCTCTAATCATCTAGAGCAGCCTGGAGAAGCAAAGACATGTGTTTAATCCCCATCATAACCACAGGCTCTGAGCTGTCTGAATGCACTCTGAGGTTTTTAACACCAGCTTTTTTGTGTGGAAAAAATACTTCCCTGTCACGAACATCAAAGTAAAATWTCCCTGTACGAGTTTTGAAAGCAGCAGCAATGTTGGAAATATTTTTGTATACAGTGATAGCCTTATTTTAGCCTTATTTTTTAGCCTTATTTTATTTATAGTTAGTTTTATCTTTGTACATATGTGTTTATTTTTATATATTCATTTTTAGTCAGGGGTATATCTATCTCCACAAGCAGGTTTTCAGGGCAGATATTTTGGGTTTTTTTTTACCAAAGTCACAGTCAGACATTTTCTCCACTTCCCACTGTGTTTGGTTTTGGACTGAACTCGAAGAAACTGTGGGCTCAGTGGTCCTATCCCATAGAAACCAAGATATTTTTGCTCTAAAGAATCAGKGGGGTTATCAAGTGAGGGACTATCTCTTAGTGATGTTTAGAGCCCAAAAATACTGTCAGAGGCTCATCCTTCCACCCTTTCCAGGGATTTTCATTAGGAGAAAGTTTATAACCCTGRATTTGTGTTGTACTGGCTACTTGTTCTGCTTTATGTTTTCTGATGCTTTAATTTTGTCCTCATCCCATTTTGGTGTGTGTCCTRTATATATCATCTTCCTGTGAGTGGGGTTTGTGGTCAATACCAGGGGAATTCTGTTTCAAACTTTCTTTTTCATGAACATATTTCTTTCTTGAAAGAAATCTTGGGAKTTTTTCCGCGTCGATCTTCACRTGAGGAAGCGAAGATTCCAGTAATYKATGTATTTATGTTCCTTTCAGGCCAGAAAGTGCTAATAACAGAAGACCTGGAGGATGTCACTGTGTTAGAAGGAGAATCTGCCATGTTCAAGTGCAGAATCTCTCCCRTAGACTATAGCAGAGTGCAGTGGTTTTTGGATAAAACCCCACTCCATACCAATGAACTTAATGAGATCCAGTCCCAGCCTGGTGGATACCACCTGCTAACRCTGAAAAAGCTCTCGCTGAAGGACTCGGGGGTCATTACATTTGAAGCTGGTGATAAGAAAACATCTGCCAGTTTGGTTGTTAAAGGTAAATTCATCATCACAACTGCAGGAGAGGAAATGATGAGTAGAAATAAGCGGGGTTAGTGTGGGTAGGTGGAAAAAAAAAAAGAGCAAAAATGTTACAAATTTAACACCATTGTTGTATATCTGTATATGTGCAAGAATGGCATTCATTTTACAATGAAATTACAGCTGGAGAATGAGCACTTTGTAATCCTGGACAGCTTTTGGAGTTTTTATTTGATTTAGATAGGAATGTTATACTGCAGTGATGGTACCTTGTTCAGTTCTTCTCAAGCTGATTCATGAGGAGATATCAATTAWTTCAATGAAAAAARAAGTGCAACCAGCAAGTYTYAAATTCAGCTTTCATCGTTTGAAAGGCAACATGGCATGTGCTCCCTGCTGTTCATTGTTGACAGTGGATTGTTTGCTCTGGARAAGTTAAAATGAGTTAAAACTGCAGTGTTTGGTGGCAAAGGAATAAAATGAATGCCAGACAGCCCAAGAATGTGGCACTAGAGAGATGTTTTCTTACTGAAAATGTGAATGTTTCTTGTTGCTCAGAGATGTGAAACACACAGTCTCCACTGTGTCAGATCATTGTCTCATTTTTTTTCAGAATCACCATATTTATTTAAAATAACTTTTTACAAAATTTTAAATTTGCCCATATTTTGCCAAGCTCCAGAAATGCAAGGGGATTTCTTTTTCCTGAGGGAAAATGGAAAGTTTTACTTGCAAAAGGCTAATTATTTCTGTTCTTCAGCAGGAATATCATCTTCTCAGCTCCCAGGTGTCACTGGGTATTTAAACACTTTATAGCATCTGGGTGCCTTCCTGAGAGCTTTATAGTCACAAACACCAAATTATTTGTTACTAGACCTGACGTACAGCTTTGATACAAACAATCCTGGGTGCAGATCTCACAGGTTACTTGTGATCTGAGGATCCACACCTCTTCTGAACCATCTCAGATGGTTTTTATAGGAGTCTGGAGAAGCCCTGCACTTTCACAAAGGAGCTGGTTGTCACTGAAGTCACTGAGGGAGGGGATGTGATCCTTCTCTGTGAAATGTCCAGAYCAGACAGCCCTGAGAAAGTGTATAGAGATGGGAAGAGCCTTAGGAATTCTTCCAAATATAACATCAGCCAGTCAGGATTTGAAGGCAAGCTTGTCATTCACGAGGCGGAAAGAAGAGACAGTGACAGATGTGAGTTTGAGAGTGGGACAGCCAAAAATAGGGCAGTTTTATATAGATGGATTGGGTCCTAATGCTGAGCTCASAGTAATTAATTGAAATTATAAAAACATGAAACTACACTGAAAAGGAACCTGGTGTTGTGCACTGAGATGTTGTCATCAAGTCGTCCAGAACAGCAGCCAGAGAGGTGACAGGATGTGAAACAGGAGAATCCTTCATCTGACCTGCCTTTAACTCTGAGAACCATGAAATTCTAGAATGGTTTGGGTTAGCAGGTACCTTAAAGATCACCCCATTCCAAACCCCAAAAAGARAGCAGTAGGAGAAAGATCCAGCCCTAGAGATCATCCACAGAAAGGATGGATCACCTCCTGGGGCTGTCTCCAGGGATAGCTCTGTCCAAGGAGAGAATTTATCTCTGGGAATTTATCTCTGTGAGATAAATCCCTCCCCTGGCAGGTTTGAGCAGGTGCAGGAGATTTTCACAGGCACAGGCTGTGTTCAGCCAGAGCAGAGCATGTCCTGTGCACAGCTGGTGTTGCACACTCGSCATGGACTGATCAAAAGCTGCTCCTGGATTAGAGATGTCGGTTTGAACCACAAAAAAAGCATTTGGGTGGTTGGAATGGTGAACCTCAACCCCAGAGCACTGAGTGGGAGGACAACCTGCTCACAGGATTTTTCTAGAGCACGAAGAACCAGCTCGAGGCTGCACAAGAAGGAGAAGACCTTGATGATGAGAGGAAGAAGAGCTGGTGGTTAATGATGCTGATTTTCTGTCTTTCTGAAGCACTTGGATATTTTCCCAATCCCGTTACACACAAAGCAAAGACCTGTGTTGACTTCAGTAGGACCTGGATCTCACCTGTGATGAACAATTATCTGCTAGAAAAGAATCACGTTTGTATTTTCCCAAAACAGCCCCATTTTTCCCCACACTGAGAAGGGCGTGGGTGGATGTAGGATTCCAACACGTGGATTCAGATCACCAATGGATATGAAGGAGTCAAGTCATAAGGATGTCTACAAGAAATTGCACTGCTGGAACTTTTCTTTATCTTTTAGGGTCACATCAGAACATCAGAATGCAAAAACAGAAAAAGAAATTCAGTAGTCATGTGAGTCTGAGTGTTCCAAACTAGAGGGAAAAAGGAACAGGACAATAGGCTGCAGTTTTCCAACAGCCACAGGTTAAGTGCATCATGGATCAGTAGCTGACTTGTGCATTCATAAAACACCAGAATTCAAGAAAAAARTATTTTTTCCTTATCTAAACATTTCAGTTGAGTTTTTTTTTTTCTCCCAAACAGTGCCTTCCCTGCACCAGTTCACCTTAAAGCCTTGAATCCCAGGCTGACAGAGCCTGCAGGGGGATCTTCACGGGGCCCCTGTCATGTTCAGCTGCACTTCCCTCTTCGYGTTTGTTCTGTGTTGTTTTTAAGCCTGTGTTCATGCTGGATAGAAAAATACATTGTAGGGTATTTTTATAAACAGAAATCAATACTGAGAAATCATTACTGTCATGACAGAGAGTACTTTGCCATTCCTCTGTGTCCTCTGTGCTGTGTGAGTTGACCTCAGTGAAATTTTCTGGGTTTTGTGCCGGTGGTCCAGCTTGGAGCTGCAGCTCAGTCTGTGTCATTAATTGCAGCGCAGCATCTGCCTCTGATGTTAATAATGAAAGCAGTGACAGCAGCAGCATCTTCAGCAGTGCAGACAGTGGTTAAAAAGAAAATAAGCATCTGGCCTCAAATTCTTTTTGATGCTGTAAAGTGCTGGCAGCCAGATGTGAGATGTCAGAATCTGTTTACTCTTTGCTAGTGCTTTTCCATTCCTGCAGTTTTCTGTCTCAAAAACAAAGTCTGATGCTAAAAATGAAAAATGATCTCCAACTTCACGTGTTTCCTGAAACATTTGAGTTATTCTTTTTTTTTTTTTTTTTTTGAAATTTTTATCTTTTTTTTTTTTTGTTATATTTTTGATTTATTTTTTTTTTTTTTTTTTTTTTTTTTTCAGAAAAGCCAGTTCTTTTCAAGCAAGAGCTCCAAAACGAAGAAGCCAAAGAAGGGAAGCAGGTCAGGCTGACCTGTGAGCTCAGCAAGGCTGGTGCCCCAGTGAAGTGGATGAAGGGAGACACTGTTCTCTGTGCCAGTGAGAAGTACGAATTCAAGCAGCACGGCACTGTGGCAGAGCTCATAATTCGAGATGTGAAATCTGTGGATGCTGGGGACTACACCTGCAGCACTGGGGAGCTGAAAACCACTGCTCGGGTCAAAGTGAATGGTGGGTGCAGTTTGAGACATTGCCACACTTAATGGAGTTCTTCATGGATCTATTGCRCAAAAATCACATAACACTTCATCTTTTTGGTGACAATGCCATCTTTAATAAGCAAAATTTAAATGCCATGTTGCACACTTGTAGGCACCTGTATATATTTCATTTGTGTGATCTCACGTTTTCCATCTGGGGTTTTAAATCTGTGACTGCCCCATGGGAAAAAGAATAATTAAGTGAAATGCAGAGTATTAGTTTTCTCTGGGCTGTAATTCCTGCCCTATCAGCTGGTTTGCACGGCTGTGATTAAAAATGGAGTTGGAGGTGGAGAGTGGAGCACGAGGATGTGAAAACATGAGCCCAGTCCCCGAAAAATTGAAGGTGATCAGGTGCTTAAGAGACTCCAGACTCCCCAAAACTTCCTTTCAAAGACAGATTCCATTTCCACTCCTCAAATATAGTACCTCTAGTAATATAGCAAAAGGAGTATGTGTGGGAGCAGAAAGCAGGAGAAATATAGGATGTGAATGGTTTTTCAGAGCCCTGCAGGAGCAGGGAATTTATTAGGTGATGGTGCCAGAGGACTCTGACAGGAGCCTAATCAGAAATAAAAGAAACTTCCCCCATATTCCTAGGAATCCACAGTGAGATGATGACATCTGGGGGACAGATTTGTTCCTGCCCCAAGCAAAATCTCCTCGATGCCTCACAGCCAAGGGAGGGTCTAGGGCTGCTCTGCTCTCTTGGAAAAGGATTGGATTTAAGAGGTGGCAGCTCTAATGGGGGCACTGGCTGTAGAGCAGGTCAAGCGGTGCTGTGCTAACCCCTGGCTCTGTGTTCCAGCTGTGCCTGTCCTTTTTAAACAAGCCCTGGAGAACACGGCTGCAGAAGAAGGGAAATCGGTCTCCTTGCGCTGTGAGCTCACAAAAGCTGATGCCACCGTGGTGTGGAAGAAGGGAGAAGCCACGCTCCAGGCAAGTGCCAAATATGAAATGAAGCAGAAGGGGACAGTGGCAGAGCTGGTGATTCATAATGCAGAGCCAGAAGATGCGGGAAGATACACCTGTGACACGGGAGAGCAGCAGACCACAGCCCAAGTCCAGATCCATGGTAGGAATGAGACACCTCCTTGTGACCATTTGTTGTTGTTCTTGCCACGGTCCTGCTTCCCCTGGGCACTTGCAGAGAGTGTTCAGGAAAAAAGGGATCAGCACAAACAGCAGACAGCTCTGGCTGGGTCCGTGATGTTCTTTGTTTTCTGGGATGAYAACTTCATGATAAAGCATATCAATCAATAACCAAATATTTTTTTCTGATAACCAGATACCTTTTCTTCCCTATGAAATATCTCTTATGCTTTGGATAGAGATGGCTGTCCAAGCTCTAAGCCAAGAGGTAAGAAGGGCCTCAGCTACACTTTTTATTAAAGAATATTCAGTTCTTCTCTAGATTCTCAGTGATTTTTTTCACAGCTTGAGGACAAGAAGAGTAATTATTTTGGTGTTCTAATTGTTGGGAAATAATTTTTCCTTTTTCATTTGATGCAAAACTCTTGTTGCTACTGTAAATACCAGCAGAGTCTGGAAGCGCAGGTAGGTCAGAGCTTCTTTTCTGTGTGAACTGAGAGAATCTGAATTAGTTTTGGCTTTAAATCCCGTGTGAGGTCACCAGGTGGTGACAATGTGCCTGAAGTAAACTGAGAATGCTTCGCTCCTCAGCCGTGTCCGTGCCGTTCCAAGAGGAGCTGCAGCCCGTGGAAGCTGCGGAAGGTGGGATGGCCACCCTGCGGTGCCAGCTGGCCACTGAGGCCCCCGTGGAGTGGAGGAAGGGCCAGACCCTGCTCCGGCCRAGCCACAAGTACAARATGAGGCAGGAGGGGACCGTGGCCGAGCTGCTGATCCACGAGCTGGAGCCAAAGGATGCTGGAGACTACTCGTGTGTAGTCGGGAACCAAAAATCCACAGCAGCCTTGTCAGTGAATGGTAAAAAGGCAGAGATGACCTGTGAAACTCTGGAGTGGTTTTGTCCACCTCTTCCCTGCYCCTCTCTGTACATTCCCTCACAATTCCTTCCTTCATGTCCTGCTTCCACTGTTTCCACCCATCCACTTTCTCATGTCACTCCTGTCCCCAGTCTGCACCTTCAGTCACCTTCCTTGTGCCCAGTGTTGGTTGTGTGTGTGTGTGTTGTGTTGTGTTCTCACCTTCCCTTAAGCGAAAGATGTTGTCCTGCACGTCTGTTTCTCTGAATTAGCAAGGGAACATAAGATTCCTTGGGATTTTCTGTTACAGAGGGTTCATCATGTTTAAGAGGGTTCATCATGATGAGAATGAATTTGTCTTCATGCATGATCTCAGCCRAGATCATGCACATTTTGATTCCCCCAGAACAATTTAATAGAGAATTTCTTTTACCACCTGTGAAAAAAAGGACAGGATGTTCTTAAGGATAAGGGTGTTGCAATAAGGCTTAGGCAGGCACACAATAAATCACGATTCAGCCTCTGAGCCGGGTCCAGGGTGGCAATCCCTTTTCATTCTGCATCTCTCAGCCCTGCCAGTCCATTTCAAGCAAGAGCTGAGGAACGAGGAGGCCACGGAGAGTGGGACGGCGACGCTGCAGTGTGAGCTGAGCCGGCCGGGCGGTGCCGTCCAGTGGAGGAAGGATGGGAATGACCTGACCCCCAACGGGAAGTACAAAATGAGGCGGGAAGGGCGTTTTGTCGAGCTGGTTATCCAAGACCTGGAGCTGACGGATGCTGGGAGCTACAGCTGCGTGTGTGGAGAGCAGGAGACCACGGCTGTTCTGAGAGTCAATGGTAACCCTCCCACCCACACTTCTCTTTAAACCCCAAACATAGCCCATGTGGCAGCATTTCCTGGCCAGCCAGAGCTTGGTCAGTGGGATTTCTTGGAGGTTTCATGTTCTTGGCTCTATATTACCAAAGAGACACCCTTTTAGAGAATATTCTTTTGGGCTGTTTTTGCCTTGAGACAGCACCTATATATTATATTGTTTAATTTATTTCTCTCTCCTCTAGAAGGTTTTACCCTGCCTATTGACAGTACCCACCTAGAAATCAAGCATTTTTGATTGGAASTGCACACTGCAGCCCAGTAACATTCACAGCGCAGTCCAGATCATTTCAWTCTGCTGCTGATTCCTTCTCTTTGGTATTGCATCCTTCAGCCTTACCCGTCCTCTTCCAAGAAGAATTGATGAGCAAGGAAGCTACAGAAGGGGAGGCAGTGACTCTGCACTGCAAACTGAGCAAATCAGCCCCAGTTGAGTGGAAAAAGGGGAAAATGGTGCTCAAGCCAAGTGAAAAGTACAAAATAGAGCAGGAAGGTCCCTTTGCGGAGCTGACGATCCAGGGTTTGGATTTGGCAGATGCTGGGGATTACAGCTGTGTGTGTGGAGACCGGCAGACCAYGGCTGCTCTGACCGTGAATGGTAAAAAAGAAATTCTCAGCACGTGTCCCAAGCCATCCTGCACAATTCCAAGACCTTTTCCTCTTCTACATCTGCTTCCTCTGATCCCTGATCCTCTGATCCTCCTTTCTGCTGATTAATTTTCCTATCTCCTCTTTCTTCTCTCTTTTCCTCCTTTCAACTGATCCCCTCTTGATGTGCTGCTTGTCTTCCAAGGTGCTCTGTTCAAATTACAAGTAGAGAACAGCTTCCCAACCCAACACAGCCTCCCTAGCCCAGAACAGCTGCTTGTTTAGAAGTTTTCCCATAGGAATTGACCTAAAAGTGGGAATAACATTTACTTCTTGTGACTTAGACTGTGACACTTGTTGCTCCTGAGAGGAACAAGTTTTCATCAACATATGGTGCTACACAAGGACAATCTTAATAAAAAATAGGCTTTTGATGCCCGTGCTATTCCCAGCTCTTCTTTACCAATTTTGGTGTAGTACTTCCCAAGCAAATATTTGATTTCTGCAGAAAACTGACAGCATRTTTGCAACTGCTCTGCTTTGAGTGACTCTTAAAAATTCAGACAGTGCCATGAATCAGGCACTTCCTGTAGAAATGCTTCTTTTCTCAAGGGAAGCAAAATGCTCTGGGTGTCATATTGAAATATGGCCTCTAATTTTATGTCCTTGACTTTATGGTGTATAAAGCAAAGAGCAGTTGGCTTGTCAACTACCTTTGCAGGTAGTTTGATTTTAAAGAATGTTCGAAAGTGTGAGGACAGAAAAAAAGTCAGACTGAATTATCTTTTGAATGGTTAGAGGCTGGAGAAAAATTGTGGAGAAATAAAACCCAGGAGGGGAGACCAAGGTGGCTCCAGGGAGATAAGAGAGGGATTAGGCTATGGGTCARGCTTCACTGGGGCTGATGCCATGTCCGTGTTTGCTCTGCAGTCCTGCCCACTCTTTTCACCAAGGGGCTCACAGACACAGAAGCCACCGAGGGTAAAAGTGTCTCCCTGCACTGTGAGCTGAACAAGGCTGCTGCTAGCGTGGAATGGAAGAAGGGCTTCAAGACCCTCAAGTCGAGTGACAAATACAAAATCAAGCGGGAAGGTGTCRTGGCTGAGCTTGTGGTCCAGAACCTGGAGATGGCGGATGCTGGGAATTATTCCTGYGTGTGCGGAGACCAGCAGACCATGGCGGTGTTAACAGTTCATGGTAAAACAGACGGAGCAGGACACATCCTGAAAGCAGCCACCCTGATTTCTCTTTTCCTTTGGACAGATCCCTGGTCACATTCCCATCTCCTCCTTCTGCCAGACCTTTATCCCCTGCTCACCGATGCCAGTRAAGTGCATCTGCTGGCGTCCGTGCGCTGGAATGTTTGGCACAAGAGGGATATCGGTGCCCAGGGCAGAGTAAGGCAGCCTGGGTTGCTGCCACTCTTTTAATCAGGGATCATCATTTTGCTTTTCCCTTGAAATATCCTTTATTAGATTCCTCATGATGCTCAAGCCAAAAATTGGGTTGCTTCAAAGGAATGATGTTTCAGGGATTTTCAGGTTTCGTAAAATTTCAAAAGATTAGRTTATTCCGTGGAATCTTATGCCCATACTCTATTCCTGAGACAACAAAGTGCTTTTAGACTTAATGCACTCTAAGTTGTCATGGAATTCAATTGGTGTTCTGTGTAAAACAAGCCCAGACCTTCTAAGGGACAACCATTCTCAGGGAGAACTTTGATTTTTACCGAACCTGACATCTTTGAAAGAGTATGTCAGTTCAGGTGAAGATGCTTGTTTTCCTACCATGTATTGAAATGAACAATTTCATTTCAAACTGACATTTAAAATGAAASCTCGCTGTTTCATTTTTTTTAAAATGTAAAATGTCTCTCAGTTTGCTTTAATATGTGGGAACACAGCGAACATCCTCCCCTTGTGGTTTAAAATGTCATATAAGAAAACCATTTTCTTTCCAGAAATTTCAAATCGGTGTTTATTCTTTTTGATTGAAATTTCACAGGGGGAAAAAAATGGGATTTCTACTTCCATTTGTATTGATTTGTGACTCTAAGTAATGTAAAATASCCCTATGGATTACTGCAAGCATCAAATCCTCTCCTGGTGATGACATATCTCTCCCAGTGCTGATTCACAGAGACTCTTGAGAATCTCTGTCCATGYGTTGACAAATCAGTTCAAGAGAAGGAGGGGAAAAGAAACATAATTTTAACTCTTTGGAGCATTGCATCTCACTGCTGATATTGCTGTCCTTCAGCTTTGCCTGCATTTTTCAAGGAAGGGCTGAAGAACAGGGAGGCCACAGATGGTTCAACAGCCACTCTGCGCTGCGAGCTGAGCAAGGTCGGCGTCCCGGTGGAGTGGAAAAAAGGGGACAAGGCACTCAAACCCAGTGAAAAGTACAGGATGAGACAGGAGGACACGGCTGCAGAGCTGCTGATCCGAGACCTGGAGGTGGAAGACACAGGGGAATACACCTGTGTGTGTGGAGATCAGAAGACCTCGGCTGTCCTGACAGTCCATGGTAAAAAAGCGGCTCTCCGTYGGGATAGCAGTACCTCAAGAATGTCCCTTTTCTCTCTCTCCTTCCCACTTGCTTTGGTGTTTGATTCTGCAGTGTTTCCTTGGTCTGCTGGTGCTGTTTCATCCCATCTCCCACTGCTGTCAGTTTGAAACTGATGGCTTTATATCAGAGTAAAGAGAAGTTGTGAGAATTTCTCATCTCAGAGACCAMGAGGGAGCAGACCTCCAGCAGCAAGATTGTTCTCACAGGGTTTGCCCTGTGTCTCCCTGACAGCAGTGGATTTTCCTGCTTAACCTGAAGGAAAGTTCTTTAAATCTGCTGAGCTCAGTCACTGAGAGGTTTTTCCATACAGGAATGAGTGCTGCCCTCCTCTTTTTGCAGGATTGTGGTGTATTCTGCTGAGGAAATGGTACTTAAATAAATCCCCAGCCCTCAGAATTATTCAGCAGRTCCTGACTTAGGGAATAGTGGGGTAAATTTTGTTCCTCTCTCTGCCATGGTGAATGGTGAYGAGCTCTGGTTGCTCCTCCAGAAGGAGCAGTTCCTGTACAGCTCCCATAGATGAAGGAACAGCTTTTAAGATATCTCTTATGGATAAAAAACTTCTAAGGATGGTGAAATTGAGGAGGCAAAGTTATTCTCTCAGATTTTTCCATGCACTTTTTCTTCTTCTTTTCTCCCAGCTGGAGGAATTTGTCTTCCTCCCCTCTTTTGACCTATCATTTTCATGCCTGTGGAAATCTCTTTTTATTTTAGTGGCACAGTTGTAACACAACTTGTTGAATATTGCTAAAAAAAACCCTGTAATCCTGATATTAGTGTCATTATACCCATGGAAACTTTGGGTTAAAGGTGCACCTGAAGCTATATTGCTATTTTTTTTCTGAACCAGAAATATAAATTATGGTGTTAGGAAAGGGAGAGATCTCCAGATAGCAGTGCTGTCTCCTGGGTTGATGGCTTTTAATTAAAGTTCAGGTAGGTAATGTTGAAGATAAAGGATTTCAGAGGGAAATGGGTAGAGAGGACTGTTGGAATGAGCTGGGAAGTGATGAACATGAACAAGCCAATGTTAGAAGTAGGTCATGGTGGAAATTATCCCGGCAGGATGCTGCAGTAGTTTTCTATTCAGTTCAGGTTTTCAGACTCTATGATTTATTTTCCTGTAATGCTGAAGGACTRGCCACAGTCCCGAGTTCCCCAAGCTCTGGTTAGAGGTTTTGATGCCCTCTCTGTTTATGTTACACCCCATAGCTTTGCCTGCACTGTTCAAAAGGGATCTTGTCAATGTGGAAGGCACGGAAAACAGGACGGCTGTTCTGCAGTGCGAGCTGAGCAAAGCTGCCCCGGTGCAGTGGAGGAGGGGGCAGGAGCTGCTCACACCGAGCGAGAAATACAAAATGAGGCTGAAGGACACCACTGCTGAGCTGACAATCCACAGCCTGGAGGAAGGAGATGCAGGAGATTACACCTGTGTGTGTGGAGACAAGACCACCACAGCCTCCCTGACAGTGCATGGTAAAATATCTGGGTTAATCGGAATTTTCTGCGTTGTCATCTGTGATCCTCAATGGGATCACAATCTGCTCTTGATCCCTTCTGTTGTTTTAAAATGTTATGGCAGCTGTTCCAGCCACTGGGAATATCTTCCACTGAAAGCCCTTCCTTTGGGACTGATAAACAGCATCACCAAGTCTTTTCAGTCCCTGCTCTTTCCTGTTGATGGAATCTGGAAGTGGATAATGAAAAGCTTGATGAAGTCAGAAACAGCACTTGGGAGTATTTTCACTCAYTGATTTCTTTAGGGCTCATCACTGAGATTTTACCTGTCTTTCTTGGATGAAATTGAAAAGTTATGAGATTTTTTATTTAGAACAACATTGGTGTTCATTTTAATTCTTAATCTGGTTTTAAGAGCTGTGCATGGCTCCTCGAAATCTTGGGATYAGCTTTCTGTTGTTATATCTTAAAATGCCTTTAAAACACTTCTCCCAGCACCGACATAGTTTTATAACACATAGCTTTGTTGTTTTATAACAAATAGTTTTATACTTTTATAACACTGATTTCCGAACCAGTGGGAGTGGAGGAGGTGAGACTGGTGTGGTTCTCTGTGTCATGCCATGGGCTATATCTTTAAAAACACCCTCTGATTTATGAATGAGGTGTTTTCCAGCTGTCCTAAGTCACTCTTTCATGGTTCTCAGAGTTGTCATAAATCACCATTGATTTCCAAATCAGTGTGAGGTGCTGAAGGTGATGCATTGCAAAGCACAGGTCAGGGATGCAGGAAAGTTAGGGATGCCCCTGAAATCATCCTGTGCTCTCAGCTTCTGTACATTCTAAAATATTCAGAGATTAAAGCATTTTACTCCAGTGGAGCAGCCCAGCCACAGTATTTCCTCAATTTTAAAGTGCTTTCTTTCACCTGTGATCTTCAGCCCTCCCTCCGCACTTCAGGAAAGAGCTGAAGAACGTGGAAGGCACAGAGAAGGGCACAGCCACGTTCTGCTGTGAGCTGAGCAAAGCTGGAGCTGCTGTGGCCTGGAGGAAAGGAGACRGAGCCCTGGGGACAAGTGACAAGTTCACCATGAGGTGTGAGGGCACGGTGGCCAAGCTGGTGATCCGTGATTTGGTCCTGGCAGATGCTGGAGATTACACGTGCTCTTGTGGAGAGCAGGAAACCACGGCTGCGCTCAGAGTGAATGGTAAAAATAAAAAAAAAGGGAATGCATAATGAATTAAAGAGATGATTTTCAAACTTTTTTTTAATTTTTTTAAGAGCATTGTWGTATTGGTTTTGAAAGAGCCGTGTTTCTGATGGGTTTAGCAATATATGGTTGAACGTGGGAATAAATTCTTGGATGTTTTGGTCAGTGTCAGGCACAGGTTGGCAGTTCATAGCAAAAATTTCAGATATTCATCTTGGTGTTAGCTCWTTTTTTGGATGCTTAAGTTCAGCAGTAGCTGCTAAAAAATGAAAAATCATATTATTGTGATGGTGGTTGTAAAGATGTCACAATCTTAAAGTTGAGAAGATTTGTTGAAGAGATATTTTTTAAGACAGTTTTCAGTGTTTCAGAATAATTTAATGGACAAGTTCTTCCAGACCACTGTATGAGGAGAAATAATAGAWTAGTTTGGGTTGKAAAGGACATTTTAAAGGTCCCTCATGGAAAAGTGAAATTGATACCTCAGATACAGGTTCCTTTATGAACTTTTTCGGTGATGATTTGCATTGCCATAGAATTTAGAGCTCTGCTTAGGCTTTATTTTCCATTCTAGCAGGCAATATCCAAGGTAGGGCTCAGTCTTGTAGGTCTGAAGTCAACACTGATGTGGTTCTTTGCTYCATGCCATGGACTTCACCATAAAAACCTCTCTGACTTATGAATGAGGTGTTTTCCAACTTTCCAAAGTTGCTTTTTGATGGCTCTCAGAGTGGTCATCAATGCTGATGGAATTGATTAGGACAGGCTTTGCTTATCACCTGTGGTTGTCAGACCACACGAAAGGGTTCCTTGAGTATCTCCCTGGTCACACATTCTGCTCCTTTTGACCCCCTCAGCCCTGCCTGTGCGTTTCCAGAAGGAGCTGACGGATGAAGAAGCCACGGAAGGYGGAACAGCCACTCTGCAGTGTGAGCTGTCCAGGGCTGCCCCCGTGGAGTGGAAAAAGAAACACAAAGTGCTCAAACCGAGTGACAAATACACTGTGAGGCARGAGGGCACCACGGCACAGCTGCTGATCCATGCTTTGGAGCTCAGGGATGCTGGGGAATACAGCTGTGTGTGCGGGGAGGAGAAGACGACGGCGGCACTGACAGTGCACGGTAAAGGACGCAGAAATGGGACGGTTTTGTGTGGTGCTTCTCCCTCCTCCTCTGGAATCCTCAGTACTGACACACAACRAGCTCTTCCTCTAATCTTGCCATCATTAATTCTGTTCCTGACAGACTTTCTTCTTTCCATTGTGATTTTTGTCCAGTTCTAACCAGGATTGTAGTTCCATTGATTTTACTAACGTTTTCCCTKTTTTCTTCTCCTTGCTCTTGTTGGTGCGGGGCTGCATTGTTTTGTACCACACCAAAGRCTGAAAGATATCAGATCACTGCTTTTTTATTCTGTTTTTCTGATTTTTGACTTGAGCCTAGAGCGATGGAGCAGCAGGAACAATCATAGSTCTCTAAAAGAGCAGTTTTATTTCAATTTGCACTAGGATTTGATGAGTAATTTTAAATAATAAAAAGAAAACTTGGTTGAATGTAACTTTTCTTTGTAATTCTGACCCAGGRTAATGTTGATTTTTATTCAGGTACTTCAGAATACTCAGCATTAKAGTAGGAGGATATTTCACAATTCTCAGTCAAATTCATCTCACAGCTTCCCATGCAAGAGAAGAAAAATTTATTTTCATTACTAACACAGGACAGTCAGAAGTAGTTTCAGCTTCTTTCTCACCTGGAAATCCAGTAGGTCTGAATTCAGGGAGTTATTTCTTTGTTTTCTTCCCTAGATCTTTTCATCTTAGTATTTACCAATAAAACAAGGATTGCTTCAGTCTTGAACTTTCAATTTAACCGTGAAAAATAGAATTGGAATGGACTTGTACAGGTCAYTGCACTTAGGCCATCCTCAAGCCCCAAGTCATCAGCATCACTACCAGTTGTTCTATATTTCAACAAAAGTCTTTCTCAAACTGCCCTAAGTSGTTACTTCTTTCACATTTTACAGAAATAGTGAAATATTTCTATAAAATTTGAAACAAGAAGTAATGCAACACTCCAAGTTATACACCTTATTATGAGGATTTCTTTATTCTCATCAGACTTGAATTTTTTTGCCTTGCATTTGCTCCACGGACTTTGGTAACTTCAAATCCCCCACTGCAGATCTGCCCCTTCTTGTATTTGTGTTGTTGATTTTTTTCTAAATATTTTCCACCTGCTCTTGCTGAACTTTACTTTTTCATATTTTATCACCATTACTATTTTATCACCATTACTTTACAGAGGTCTYCTATATCTTAATCCAGTTTAAAGAAGTCCTTTCACCTTCTCTCCCTTCCCACCTTGAGATCATCTGTGAAATTAATTAAGCTTTGCATTTCTTTGTCCAAGTCACTCCAGAAAATGCTGAATAATACTGAACCCAGGGTAGTGAGAAACTCTGCTCAGCTCATTCTTTCATCTTGAGGGTAAACYCCAGTTCAGTATCCTGTAACTGTGGTTTTCAAGTTTATAGCGTTTCCCTCTGTAATTCCATCTAAGTTAAAACTTTACTAAAATAATAATGTAGAACTTATCATGTGTCTATCATTGAAGCTTAATCTATACCAAGAAAAAAATTATCCTGATCCACTCCTTCATGAGGAAAAAAGCCCTTGGCAAATCTGAGTTTTTTAAAGAATGAACCTGAGATCCCTGGGATCCTCTCTGCCATCTCTTTGTTTTTCCAAGRTGAGCACTATGAATGGGATACACCTTCAAGGCTGAAGAGTATTCCTAAATTCCCATTTTTATTCATGGRGATCTGGTCAACAGAGACCAGGGAAGTCAGGGAGGCCTCCAGCCCTTTTAAAAGCGGACATTTACATTTGGAGCTTTATTGGTTCCACTGACTTTACACAAGTGATTTTTCTTTCTTGGCTCTCTGTGAGTTTAGAATCTCGGTTTATATGGCAAGAGCTAAATGTGGGTATTTCAATCTGTGAGATGTTTTTCGTTTCTTAGTTTCTGGTTTTKCTATAATTGAGGAACATCAGTGATTCCCTTTGATTTTTCCAGTGTCACTGTTGTTGCCTGAAATTGGTTGTGCTTCACCTTAAGAATTCCAGGACAAATTTCATCACACCAAGGTGCTTTGAGAATATATTTATTTRATTACTCTCCAATCCTTCATTTTATTTCTTATCCTAGCCAGAATTTCTACTACTTCCTTAATTAAAATTAGYATCTAGTAATAAGGAAGAAAAAGGAATTAAATGTTTTAGCTTTCCCCATGTCACTCATCATCAGCTCACATTCTTGAAAGAGAGGCAGATCAACATCTCCCTTGTTGTCTTCCTTCCTTCTAATCTATTTCCATTGATGTCTGCACAGTTATCCTCCACATCCTTATTCTCAACTATTTCTTTCTTGCTGGAATTGGAGACCATCCTCTCAAGCTCTTTCATAGTTRTTCTATATCCAAATGTGATTCCCAGCTCATTCCAAAGGCTTAGTGGATGCTAACCCATCCTGCTRCTTCCACAGGACATTTTGCCACATTTCTATCCGTCCTTACACTCCAAATGATTCTATTTATTCCAAATTGTTGTTCCAAAAGGGATGAGGTGTCAGGATGCACCTGAACTTCCTGATGTGAGGGTTTTAGGGCAGATTTCCACAGTTGTTTCCGCATCCTTCTCTTCCTTTTTTATTCTTACCTGAGCATTTTCAAGAGATCTCTCCAGTTCARCTCTTCAGTCTTATTGTAACTCTGGGCTAGGTCTGAAGACATCCTTAAAATGTTAATTAAAACACTGTAGTTTTTTCCCTTAGCTTTTTTTCTGACCTGTTGTCTCAATTTTCTAGGCTGGGTTKTACTGAAAAAGTTACAGTTTTTGACCATCCATGCAGTTTCCCCATTCCTGCTGTCTGTTCTTCATTAATCTTTAAACCAGTTAGCAAATGTGCTCAAAATTTAGACCAAAAAAATGCAAGACCTTTTTTGTCTATGATACAAATCAGCATCTTCCTTCTGTGAGACATCAATAACCAGACATGGACAGATATTTGTGAACATCAGGGCCATTTATTTTGGTGGTGAAGAGCTGCTTGTCATGRAAACCTTTGCTTCTCTGTTTCTCAGCCCTTCCTGCTCTGTTCAAAGAAGAGTTAAGAGATGAGGAGGCCCAGGAGGGTGCAGCAGTCACCCTGCGCTGTGAGCTGACCAMACCTGCCCCAGTGGAGTGGAAAAAGGGACACACAGCCCTCAGACCTAGCGAGAAATACAAAATGAGGCAGAAGGACATCACTGCAGAGCTGGTGATCCACAGCCTGACCGAGAGCGATGCTGGCTGTTACACCTGTGTGTGTGGGGACCAGCAGTCCACAGCTTCCTTGGCAGTGCATGGTAATGCCCAGCTCCAGCTGGATGTCATCATTATGGTCTGAATTGTTTTTGTCACCACGGTTGTTTTTATCTGTGCCCAGCTCCTCTGAGTCTGACCTCGCGTGGCGCAACCGCGAGGATGAATTTTGTGTTTTAAGGGTAAAACCTTCCCCCAGTTCCATGCACAAAATGGTTTTAGGACCTGATTTCTAAAGCAGATGTGAAGCCAAGCCTGAAGACACATCCCCTCCTTCCCTTGCCCCTCCCAAGCCCTCACCAGCAGGCTGTGTTTGCTGCTCCCTTTAACCCTGTCCCCATTGCATCCTCAGTGCTGCCTGCAGGCATCCGGGAGAGCCTCAAGGACCAGGAGGTGACCGAGGGTCAGGCGGCCACTCTGCGCTGTGAGCTGAGCAAAGCTGCCCCCGTGCACTGGAGGAAGGGCAGCGCTYTGCTCACAGCCAGTGACAAGTACAAGATGAGGCAGGAGGGCACGGTGACAAAGCTGCTGATCCAGGATGTGGAACTGAGAGATGCTGGACAATACACGTGTGTGTGTGGAGAGCAGGAGACAACGGCAGCCTTGATAGTGCATGGTAAAAATAATGTATATATATATATCTGTATTATTGCGGATTTCTCTGCCAGCTCATTGATATTGGTTGTCTGCTCACCTGTGGCTGAGTTGTTTTGTTAAAGCTGTAAACTCTCTGTAAGATCTGGTTGAATCCAGGCTTTTCTCCTTCTCTCTGTTGGTTTGTCCAATGTCCCAGAGGAAAGCCCCCTGTATTCACCCTAAAGTGTTCTCTGCTGCTGCACCACCCCATCCCTCCCATCCCCCGTGTGCTCTGTGTCATTTTTAATGTCCATAATGTCCATTTTGTGACCTTCAGCCCTGCCAGCCCTTTTCAAAGAAGACCTGAAGGACCTGCAAGCCACAGAGAGCCAAACRGCCACKCTGYGCTGCGAGCTGAGCAAGGCTGCAGCYGTGGTGTGGAAGAAAGGGAACAAAACACTCAGGGCAAGTGAAAAATACATCATGAGGCAGGAGAGTGCCCTGGCTGAGCTGGAAATCCGTGACCTGGAGCTGCAGGATGCAGGAGATTACACCTGTGTGTGCGGGGACCAGCGCAGCACRGCCTCGCTGACAGTGAAGGGTAAATGCAGATGAACGTGCATTTTCTGTTTCTTTGGAGCATCCTCTCCGTGTGTGACATGTTCACCTCTCACMTTTTTCCTGGGAGTTCATTTGTGTCCAGTTCCTGTCCAGCTGTTTAGTTTTGCTCTGGTGTTGCTGAAAAGGTATCTGAGGACAGCACTGTCTCTCCATGCAGGGTTGTAGTTTAAGGGAATTGCACCCAGGAAATGCTCAGATTAGACCAGCTGAGATGTTCTGTCCCTGGCATAAATCCTTCAAATTCCACCTTGAATCCATCCAWCCTCTTGCACTTTGGCCTGTCAGCTCAGCCCTTCTTGTCTTGCTGCTGGATTCGTTTTTCCAGATCATCGTAGCGATAACCTCAACCTCAAMCCCCCCTGATTTGGCCAGATTTGARCTTCAGCTGAGAATTCACGATGCTGATTATTTAGTTTAAGTACACTTTTTGTTGGCTTTCCATTCCCAGCCCTGCCAGTACTTTTCAAGGAAGAGCTGAAGAATGMAGAAGCCCAAGAAGGAGCATCAGTCACTCTGAGTTGTGAATTAACCAAAGAAGCTCCAGTGCAGTGGAAAAAAGGGCCCAAAGTGCTCAAAGCAAGTGGCAAATATCAAATGAGACAGTCTGGCACCACTGCAGAGCTGCTCATCCATGACCTAGAAGTAAAAGATGCTGGAGATTACACCTGTGTGTGTGGTGACCAGAAGACAACAGCAACCTTAACAGTTCATGGTAAAAAGACCTTACTGAAATTGCTAAATAGCTCTCGAGATAGACACCATTCTGAAATTCAGGGTTTTTTCTGTGGGTCAGTAGCTTGTCTCTGTTTTTATCCATTCCTCTTCCTTCATTCTATTTATAACTTATTTTGTCCTGAGAAGGAGTTGCTCGTGGTGAATTTTTGGATTGTTATTAATATGTCCTTTAAAAGTAGAAAGCAAGAAGTTTCTTTCTGTGCAAGTCCCCTCTTCTTGGATATTTACATTTTCCAGCTCCAACCCTGTGGTTCACTTCAGTCCATCACAGTTTTCTCCAAAACACACAGCTTTGGTGTGTTCTTTAGGAACTGGAAAAGGAGAAGTGAGGACTGGGGAGCAGAAGGAGGAGGAGATTCTCTGCTGGGCCACCTGGCCAATGATTCCTCTGAGTGTTCCAGATCCTTTAAACAAGTCAGACATKCAGAGTGAGATGAGAGTTACCATTCCAGAGCTTCTTACCCTAACCCGGGCTTGAGGGATGTGGGATCAACACCTCTGTGTGGGGATCAGGAATACCCTGACAGTTGGGGATTAAAAGGAAACCCAAAACCACACAGGAGTTGTGCTCTTCTTTATCCTGTCAGCTCCCAGTAAACCAATCCRTGAATAAATCCTTATGTTAATAACCTCATTACCTCATTTCTGCTTTCCTCTTATTGAGGACTATCMWTTTWAWKGRRKWAMMWTTYYYMGSYTTKRRGRAMYTKSWTKG